AGTCTGACCGGTCACCCAGGACCTGTTTGCCTTCCTTGGGAGACCCTACAAGGGACATATAGCCCCCGACAACATAGCTCCTAGGATCACTCGGGCACTCAAATCCCTCCACCACAATAAGGTGGCGGTTCAAGGAGGGGTGTAATAAATATGAAATATAATATTGCTCATTGCAGTTTCTCACATTCTTAATTTACAACCATTCCAACAGGTACTGGGCCAAGTTTCAGCTGTCTACCATCTCATCACTCTTGGTGTCTTTGCAGCCAGCTTGTCATCGGCACTCAGCTTCCTAGTATTTGCTCCTAAAGTCTTTCAGGTGAGAAACATTGATATACCTGTTCAGTACAGAAAGCTGGTATAGCCCAAGACATTTTGTTACATGTATAATAGTTTTTATATCAGACCTACAGTATGTGATGAATTTAGACACCTTTCAGGGATTTATTACACTGTTGGATTTTCATGACAGCGCTGCCATCATTGTTTCAGTTACCTCTCAAAAGAGCAATAATCAGAGAAATGTCACTTGTAGGCACACAAACAACCTCATCACCAAAATTCAAAACAGCATAGAAATGTGTGAAATACTAAACTGAAATTTTATATACTGTATGTTATGAACTAACATGGCGCAGAGTTTAGTTTAATAAATGTATATTTTATACCTTATTGGCCAGTGTCTGTGCCGAGACAACATATACCCATACATCGGACTTTTTGGAAAGGGTTATGGGAAAAGTGATGAGCCATTCCGTGCATATATCCTCTCTTATGTGCTTTCCATTGTCTTTATTCTCATTGGTGAGTGCCATCTACTATTGTCACCATTTTTCATAGGAATTGTTGATTCACACATTTGTTTAAAATTATAATCTCTTTACAAAGTTTTGTTGTTATTATGTAACTCACTGTTGATTTTTTTCTCCACTGTATCATCACAGCTGAGCTGAACATCATTGCAGCCTTGATCTCCAACCTCTTCCTGTGCACATATGGCCTCATCAACTTCAGCTGCTTTCACGCTACAGTCACCAACTCCCCTGGTGAGTTGGTTATTCATGCACAACACTGTGCAGTACATATCATCACACAAGGTCTTTCACAAGGCTGTCAGTTTTCACTGCTTTACAAAATGACTCATGAACTTCAGTTGTTTGGCCACAGCTAAAGTTTGGGATTATGGAAACAATATGATTAAAAGAAACCACCACTGAGTCATGATAGTAAGCTGGAAGCAAACATGACTCTTTGGTGTCACAGCCAAACACTTTGCTGACACATTAATGCTCTCCAGACTGCATTTTAAGATGTTTAACCTAGTTCAAACAGTCACACCCATTTTGCATTTCCTTCTGACAGACAAAGATCAGGCTCGAAGTTTCTTTTTTCATTATTACCTGTCCTGTAAATACAGACAAATCTGCTAGCACATAGCAATCTAATATTCCTCAATTAGTGTCTTAATAAGTGATAATTTTGTTAAAATGACTATTGAACACAGCACTGAGTTACCGTGGTATTTGGGGGGCTGGCATTTTATGCCCTTATTAGCTGTAGAATCATCATGAGATGGGATGATTAAATAGAAATCAAAGATGACAGTATTGTCAATCCAATATTAAAAAATAGTAATGAAAATTAAATTAATGAATTTTAATTTTGCCAAACTGTTTCAATTTGCCAGCCTACTGAAAAGCCAGAGGTCTGAAGAGCTGATTTGATTTTCTCAGTACATGACCTTAATAAGAGCTGTGACTGTCATATTAGAGATTCTGTGTTACACCACCTGAAAGCCCTCACTGTCCTCAGGTTGGAGGCCTTCATTTCGCTACTACAATAAATGGGTGGCTTTGTATGGAGCAGTCATCTCTATAGTGCTGATGTTCCTCTTGACGTGGTGGGCTGCTCTGGTCATTTTCGGTGTCATCATCTTTCTGTTTGGATATGTCTACTACAAAAAGCCAAGTGAGTCAGAAAACAAATTTTCAAGTTGAAATGTGTTCTGATTAGACCAGTGTAGAATAGATGAAATAGTTGGATAAATAACTGAGAACTGTATTATTTTCTCCCACTCTGTTGCATTTGCCTCCCAGTTCTTTCAACTACTGTACAGCTCACTTATTTTTCTTGACATCTGCAGAGATAAACTGGGGTTCATCGGTCCAGGCAGGTACCTACAACATGGCTTTGTCATCCTCTGTCTCTCTTTCTGGAGTGGAGGATCATGTCAAGAATTTTAGGTGAGTGATCATAAAATAAATTATAACTATAACTCAGTTATCAAATCACTTCAGCTGATTATTATATGAAATGTGTCATTCTTGTGAGTCCCAGTATCACTTCAACACTGGCTGCAGCACTGGTGTTTAACACCAAGACAATATACTGTATAAGATGTTTAATAGTATGCTGAATCCATTTTAACTCTAATTGAGCACTAATTTATTGGAACAGTATTGCATTCACTTTAAATCTTGTGGAGTTGGATATCAGTGGTGATAGTGTTGATTTAAACTTTGTCTGTTGGTCCTCATCTCTGTCCTCTGGTGTGTTCTTCCAGGCCACAGTGTCTTGTCCTGACTGGGCCCCCAAACCAGCGACCTGCTCTGGTAGACTTTGTTGGATCCTTCACGGAGCACATAAGCCTCATGATCTGTGGAGACATCATCATGGTCGGTCCTTCAGCCTCACCAGTCTTGTTCCTTACAGCAGCTGTTCATCACTTTCACTAGTCTTGTTGAATGTCTTTCACCTCCATTTGTGTCTGTCCTGATGTTGCCTTGTTGTGTAAAGATAATATTGAATTCCTGCCTCCTCTAGGAGCAGGAGAGGCAGACTCGACCACACGACGCCACAGACAGCATGGTGAAGTGGATGAAGAAGAGGAAGGTGTGCTCGTTTTATACTCCTTTCACTGCAGAGAGCCTCAGAGTTGGAGCTCGACACTTGTTACAGGTACAGCTACAGCTATTTGAGAAGCTGGATGTGTTTATCTGTGGGAAGTTTTACTACTTTAAATGTACAAAACACATTTAATAGGAATTTAGCTTGATTGCAGGTTTAACAAAGTTGTCACATGCTTGTAATTTTCAGAGATGGTAATTAGTTTGCTTCAGTGCCCACAGGTGGCTGTACTGTAACATTGCTGTTACAAATTATTTGTTTTTACCTCCACTTTCATTCATTTCTCACAACATCTATTACTTTCTAATTATTTCTTTTAAAGAACATTGAATCATATTGTTTTTCTCACTGTAAGACCTGAGCCTGCCCATGTAGTACATGTACTTCCAGTATGTTTTTGACCCTAAAACACTCTGTTCTCATTCACCATTTCTTAAGGCCTCTGGTCTCGGCAAACTGAAGCCCAACACTCTGGTCCTGGGCTTCAAGTCAAACTGGAGGGAGACTGCTCCTGAAAGCACAGTAGATTATATTAACACTATATAGTAAGTTGGTCCTTATTAATGGTGCATTGTAAAGAGAACAGATTTGCAGGGCCTTCAGGTGGATTTTTAACATGTTTTTATGGTCTTGCTGGAAATAAAAGATTGTATATATAGTAAGGTTACTGAATCACAATTTTGCACAGACCTTTAAAAAACATGTTAACTTATCCCTTGTCTACTGCTGTTCTATGACCTAGTGATACCTTTGACCACAACTACAGTCTATGTATCCTGAGGATGATGGACGGCCTCGATATCTACAGCCACTATGAATTTGAAGGTTAGAAATCTACATTTCCACAATGTCTTTGAATGTTCTCCATGTGATTTTTATTTACAATATGACACCTTTTGTGCACCATTGAAAGATAAAATATCTTTGTTCCAGTGAACCACGGGTTTGAGTCTGATGAATATGCAGAAAATGACCACAAGGAACATAGTGAGATGAAATCAGGTGAGCACTTAACTGTACAGGTTTACATGTTGTTGGGACACCGCATTGACTTGCGCTCATTTCTGTAGAATTTGCTGCTGCTGGAAACAATGTGACATGTTCCCCTGAGCCTTGCATAAGCAAATATAATCCTAGTCTATAGTTGAGCCATTAACAACAAAGCCAACCCACCGTTAGGTCAGTGAATACAAACTCAGACTTTGCAGGAAAAAACATTTATTGTAAAAACAGGTTTGTAGTGATGGCATTAGCCTGCAGTTTACTCCACATGATTTTGTTTCATTTAAACTTAAATTTATTACCCTTCCCCTAATTCTCTGAGGAGCCCCACTGCAACACTGTCACCCATAAAGAACCACAGTTAAAATGAATAAAATTATTGGCCCCACTCTTCACTGCTGCTCCTCTTGTTGTCACAGTTGAGGACATCTCAGACAAAGACGACAGCGATCAGACCAGGACAGTGTTTCAGAGTGACCAGGGGAAGAAAACCATTGACATCTACTGGATCGCTGATGATGGAGGTGAGCACAGAGAGGGGTTTGATCAAAACAAGCACAATACATCGGTTTTCCACCCATCATCTAAAGCACTTATCCTGTAGGGTTGTGGAGGTACACCGCTTATGTCAGCTTATTATGATGTGTGCATCAAATGCATGATGAAGAATGGGGATGATAATCTATATAGCAACCTCAGTAAAAAAAAAAATAAGAAAGAACTTCAAGATATTAGGATGATCAACGTTAACCCTCAGTGGTGTCCTCTTTGGTTTTTGGATAAAGGGCAGTCTTCATCTCTTCCCTCCTGACAGCCACAAATCTAAGTTGTCTTTTTTTTTTCTTAAGTGCGGTCTTTGTTGTCATCTTACCTTTAAAGGTCTGACTCTGCTGGTACCTTACCTGCTCACCAGGAGGAAACGCTGGAACAGCTGTAAGGTCAGGGTCTTCATCGTGGGAGATGAACAGAACATGGACGAACGACGTAAAGAGTAAGCTTTCTTATTTTTGTTGTTCACCAGATCAAGGTTTTGGTAGTGGCGCAGTATTTTCTCAACATTTCCCCCTTTTCTTTAACCTTTAATCTGATGTATTCATTCATGCAGGGTTTTTGTATAATCTGTAATCTGTTAGATGTATTTTCTGCAGTACAGAACAGGGTGTGTGATGGTCTGTGGAGAGAAATGTACTGACATTTTGACTGTTGTTTCTTTAAGGATGACCGCTCTACTTCAGAGGTTCCGTCTGGATTTTAATGACGTTATAGTCATGACTGACAGTGAGAAGCGTCCTCAGCTGAAGAAGTAAGTGGACAAAACCCTTATATCCACAATCAGCAACGTACATTGAAAAGTGAATAGTCGTACTGATAGGGGAAGACATCAGCCTATAATGACAGCCACTGTTTGCAGTATCTGAATATATGAGACCACTGTGTGGTGGTTTCATAGAAGACATTGCACAGCCGTTTTTCAAATGCAGAATCTAAATTGAAGCTAGTGTTTATAAACTTTTACACTTTTTAAGGGCAATGCTACTGTAGATTACTGTAGGCTTTATACATTCTGTAGCCTACACAACTGACCAACTTCTGTCTTTTTGTTTTTGTTGCGTCTCAGCCTGAGCCGATTTGTGGACAGCGTCGCCCCCTTCAGGCTATTTGATGAACAGCGAGATGGTCTCTCCGTTCAGGAGCCGAGTAAACATGCTCCGTGGAAAATATCTGACAAACACTTTGAGGCCTTCAGACTTAAGGTGTGTGTGTGTACATGATACATGTCCAACATGCAGTCCCTTTGAACAACCTTCACTCTGTCACATCTCTGTGTATGAAGCCTTGCAGTTATGTCTTCTCCCTTGATGCCGGATTCTTACTTTTCTCTTCCTCCTTTCACAGTCTGAGAGAAAAGTGAGGCTGAACGAAATCATCCGGAGGAATTCACAACACGCTGCTCTCGTGCTTGTGTGAGTTATCTTGTCACACAAATGCAAATGTTACAGCAGGCAGCACAAAATGTGTTGTTCTTGTACTGTGTTATGTTGATGTAAATGTGATGATGTTTTCAGGAGCCTTCCTGTGCCACAGAGCGACTGCCCCAGTGTTCTGTACATGGCCTGGCTGGATGCTCTGACCTGCGGCCTCCACTGCCCTGCTTTGCTGATAAGAGGAAACCAGCAGAACGTCCTCACTTTCTACTGCCAGTAAATGTGTGTGATGATGGAGGGGTCTTACAGGGTGGGATATTTTTAGGTAGGTAGGTAGGTAGAACTTTAGACATTCAAGTAAAACAATGCCCTGGAAACAAATGTATAACTCTACACAATTATTTAAATGGTAAAAAAGACCCAATTGGTGCCAAAGCATGGTTAACAATCCTGATAATATGTGAATATAAAAAAGTATAAGACCTTATACAGGCAGTAATGGAAGATAATGCATTGCAGTTACTCGCCTCACTGCCATCAAGGTTATCTTCAGGATGATGAGGATGCCAACATCATCAGTTGCCATCAGCAGCAACTGCCGGAGAAATCTGCCCAGCCTGAGCTATAACCTGGAACAGAAAACAGTACACAACATATCTGAGAGTCTAATGCATGATATTATGGTTTCTGATATAGGCCAGTAAGTTCAGCAAGGAGCTGACAGGTTACTTGAGTTTTTCTGCAAATATTTGCTTTTTTTACTCCTAAGGTTGTGTTGCATAAATGTTATCCTTCTCTGTTTCTATTTTGGGATAAATGTAAATCAAATGATGATCCATGTCCTTGTGGGTCTGATCACTAATTTTCCTGTCTTGGTTAACATTTTTTAATTTTCTTTCTGGGATATACCAAAGGTTATGCACACGGAAAAATGGCATTTTGATCAATTACAGTAAAATGTAACATTAGAAGGGAAAAATGCTTTTCTGTAATATCTGGATTACAAAATACAAATTTAGTTTTGCCAAATTTTTGTTTTTGATGGGTTGCAAGTACAACCACATATACTGTAGATGATATGTTCCCTTAGGATGCAGTTTGTCCTTAATACATGGAAAGATCAATTATTATCCCTCACCCCTAATTTGTGTGTGTATATAAGTTGGATTTTTGTGTATTCTATAGGAATTTGCCCATAGAAATATTAAAAACTATGAATTAACAATATTGCTGTGACAATAGAAGATGAGCAAGTATTTATCAGGTAAGGCGGAGAACGGCTGTGGACTGGGGACAACACTTAAAAACCAGTTTGGGGTTGATTTTTGCCTCTTCTGACCCTACCCCTCTAATTCTGTAATTAACCCAAAACCAAATCCTAACCCTCAGTCAGCCATTTGAAGATTTGTCAGAAATGAGGACCGGCGAAAATCTTCCCATGTCGACTGCCATGGCCCAACCCCCAAACTGGTCCTCAGTGTACAGCCACATTAGTACATACACTCAGAGCAAACATGCCCACAGGATGCATACCAGTGTAAGTTCAGAGGCTGCAGAATTCATATAAGCTGATGACGACAGTGTTCCTTATCCAGGAAGTCAGCAACTATTCCAGAATCAACTTGATGTGTGCCTTAGTGCCATTCACTACCAGCAGATGGTGCCAAAGAAAAAGATCTTAAATCCTACAAATAGTGGCTGTAAGGAAAGTGGCCAACAATACTAAAAACTATAACACAAACTATAGGTTATTATCTCTGAACGCTTATTATATTAGGAAAATTATATTTCATTTCAATAGATTATTTAAAAGTAGAAATCACTTGCACCATGTTTTTTTAAAACGTACATTGATTAAAAGAAAAGAGTACGTTCTTTTTAAGACCGGTGGCTTGAGGGTGTAGTAGTAAAGTATGTTTCCCCCCATCTGAGCGCACTGGTTGTAAATCCACTCCCTGCCACTACCTGTCATCAGCAAATTGCTACTGTACTCCAAAAAGAGAAAAGACATCGGATATGAAATGTTGTAAATAAAATACAGATACATAAACACAAGCACATTTGGTGTTCTAAAACTTTAACATAAATACAGAGAAAAGAGACTGAAAAGAGGATCACACACTGACACAAGTAAAAAAAAAAAACCCTACTCTCTACACGCATGGATTCCTTCCCAAGCAGCCTGTCCAGGAGGGGACATGGGACATCCTTTAACTTCTCTCCAGCTGAGATCTGCTGGAAGTGAGCTAGGACATGTTCCTCTGCAGCCTGCCCCCCATGGACCAGTCCATAGGTCTCAGCCAGGACCAGCACATCCAGACAGATGCTTTCATCCATCCTGTCTTGCAGGAAGTCGATGCACAGCCAGAGAGCCCCCTGCAGCTGGAACTGAACTAGTGCATCTGTGAGCTCCCAAATCTGGCTCCAGCCTAGTCTGAGCTGGCCTGTGTAGATGAAGCCAACTATGGATTCAATGACCCGGGATGGCACGCCTCACAGGCACACAACATCCTCGCTGGATTCCCGTAATCCTTCACAGAAACTGAAACAGTCCCCATTTGCTGCTAACAGCAAATGGTGTGCTTAGAGAGGCAGAGGGTGGTAAAGGAAGGGTAAAGCCACAGAGAGGGAGAGGGGATAAAAAGAGAGAGATAAAGGTCTGACAATGATGAAGAAAGAGGTATAGGCAAACAAACAGACGTCCTCATCAGAGCTACTCAATGAATAACTGCAGATGACTTCAAATTCAAATGTCTAATGAGACTGCTCAAAACCCTAGACTTTAACCCCACCCAGTGACAAATTGCATTTACAATTTAATCATCAGCACATCTCACACTGCAGCCAGCAGTGTACTTGAACTTTACTTCTTTGTTGCTATGTCATGTTTATGCCCTCTCAATTCCAGTTGTCAGGACTGCATGGCTCTTAAAAAATGTATGAAACACTTAATCCTCAGTATACTGTAACATCAAGTCAGTCAAACTTCAGGTTTTTGGTTTCCATTGACTGTTATGTCATTTTGTTCTGAGCCAACTATACAATGTACATTAGTAAAGGTTTTCAACCTAAATAATTTGTCTGTAATCAAGATATGATGTGTGATTTAAGTGTTCCCTTTATTATTTTGAGCAGTGTATTAATGTTTCTCATATTACAGTTACAAAATGGTTAAAGTTAGACATCAGGGTTGGACACCCAGTCATCCACTATGAGTTCCTCCCAAAAGGACAATTCATAGTTGCCACATTTACAGGACATGGGTGTGATTGTCATCTTCTTTTGTCCTCTGCCCAAGTCTGCAAAGGTCCATACAGACTACATGCATGATGACTGCACATGCACTAGAAACACTAATAGATAACATATTTACTAATGATATTGATAGCAAAATGTCCAGTGGATTACTTATAAATGATATCAGTGATCATTTACCAGTATTTTTGGTTTATGACTGCCATGTTAGAAAAGAAAGGCCAAAAACAAATCTTTTTTATAGGAGGGTGATGAACGAACATGCTGTAAGGAGGCTAAAAGAGGACTTTATGGGGCAAGACTGGGATGCAGTTTACAAAGAGGAAGACTTAGACAAAGCATATGAGCAATTTTTAAATATATTCATGGAAGTATATGACAGGAACTGTCCTCGTAAGCAGTACAAAAACAAGAGGAATTACAGTGGGAAACTGTGGATAAGTAAGTGTTTACAGAATGCATGTAAAAAGAAGAATGTCTTATATAAAGAATTTATAATGGACAGATCCAAGAAGGCGGAAGAAAAATATAAGTTATATAAGAACAAATTAACTGCATTATTGAGGAGATGTAAGAAACTATATTACTCTAAAGTATTAGAGGATAATAAAAATAACATGAGAGGTACTTGGAATATATTAAATAAATTGATTAGAAACAGTACCAGCAGGAGTAACTACCCTCAATATTTTATGGATAATGATACACCGGTCAACAGATTTGAGGATGTAGTTGAGACGTTTAATAGGTTTTTTGTGAATGTGGGTCCTGGTTTAGCAAG